GCCTGCTGCTGTGGACTCTGGAGCTGAGACTGCTGGTGCTGAGCCTGGGGGTGCTGAGACAGAGGGTGCTGGTTCTGGGGGTGCTGCGACTGGGGGTGCTGGTTCTGGGGGTGCTGCGACTGGGGGTGCTGGTTCTGGGGGTGCTGCGACTAGGGGTGCTGACTCTGGGGGTGCTGCGAGTCCTAGTGGCGGTGGAGCTGTGGGTGACCCTGCTGGAGGTCCTGGAGCTGGACAGCCACCGCAGCCTGATCTACTTGAGACGCTCTCGCCGCAGGCGATTCGTGCGTGGATCGTTCGGCGAGGTAGTCCTGATGGTGGAGGGTTCGGTCCTGCTGGTGCTGGAGCTGCTAGTCCTGTAGGTACTGCTGGGGGTGCTGGAAGTGCTGCTGGTGCTGGAGGTACTGCTGGAGGTACTAGAGGTGCTGGAGGTGCTGGAGCTGCTAGTGCTGGAGGTGCTGCTGGTGCTGGAGGTACCGCTGGAGGTGTTGCTGGTGCTGGAGGTGCTGGAGGTGCTGCGGGTGCTGGAGGTACTCGAGGTACTGCTGGAGGTGCTGGAGCTGCCAGTGCTGGAGGTGCTAGAGCTGCTAGTACTGGAGGTGCTCCTAGTGCTGGAGGTGCTGGAGCTACTAGTGCTGGAGGTGCTGCTGGTGCTGGAGGTACTGGAGGTACTGCTGGAGGTTCTGGAACTGCTAGTGCTGGAGGTGCTGCTCGTGCTGGAGGTGCTGGAGCTGCTAGTATTGGAGGTGCTGCTGGTGCTGGAGGTGCTGGAGGTACTGCTGGAGGTGCTGGAGCTGCTAGTGCTGGAGGTGCTGCTCGTGATGGAGGTGCTGGAGCTGCTAGTACTGGAGCTGTTGCTGGTGCTGGAGGTACTGGAGTTGCTGCTGGTGCTGGAGGTGCTGGACCTGCTGGTGCGCTTCGCCACCTTCTCGGTCTTCCGCCAGCTCCTACTGAGTTCCCTGTCGCAGACCTATCTCAGCCACAGCTACTCCCTCACTCCCCACTGCCTACTCCTGCTCCTTACACTGCTGTGACAGAGTCCCTGACTGAGCGTCGAGAGCCTGAGACTCGTGCTTCCACTCCTGAGCGTCGAGAGCCTGAGACTAGAGCTTCCGTTCCTGCTCGTGTTCGTCGTGTGCGTCGTCCTCGTGCTCCGGCTGTCCCAGGCACTCACGATATGACACTCCGTCCTTCCTCTGTTCCACAGCGTGTTGTCCTACCGTCACCTCCTGCGTCTTCTCTTCCTGCGTCAGACGGAGGTCTGACCTTGCTCGTGCTTCCAGTCCGACTGTCACTCGCTTGCTTGCTACAGTTGTGACGGACCCTATGTTCTCGTCTCCTGCTATGTCTGCCTTAGTCGCTGAGCTAGTTGACTTTGCTGCTGCGCACCGAATAGACTACCTTGCGAGTCTTGTTTCTGACCCTGACCCTGCCTGTCCTCCGTCCGTCGGGGGTGAGGTTGCCCTTGGCTGTGACGTTCTTGAGGACAGACAGGAGGAGCTGGAGTGTCTTGCGGCCGCTGCACCTCATCTCGCGACCATGCTGCTTGCCCCTGAGGGAGACCCGGACGCACTTGACGTCCCCACCCCGCGCTCTTACAGAGAGGGGATCTCGGGTGAGTACTCCTCTCAGTGGCAGACAGCCATGGACGCAGAGATGGCTTCCTGGAAGTCCACAGGCACCTACGTCGACGAGGTTCCCCCACCTGGGGCGAACATCGTCAGTGGCATGTGGATTTTCAGGGTGAAGCGGCCGCCGGGTTCTCCGCCTGCCTTCAAGGCACGTTACGTTGCTCGAGGCTTCAGTCAGCGTGAGGGGGTCGACTTCTTTCATACCTTCTCCCCCACCCCGAAGATGACCACTCTTCGGGTGTTGCTACACGTTGCAACTCAGCGTGACTACGAGCTGCACTCCCTCGACTTTTCGACAGCTTTCTTGCAGGGTAGCCTTCACGAGGCCATCTGGCTGCGCTGTCCAGAGGGCTTCACTGGGTCGTTTCCTGAGGGTACCCAGTGGAGCCTACGGCGACCAGTATACGGCCTGCGTCAGGCGCCCCGCGAGTGGCACGACACACTGAGGACGACACTTGCGGCTCTTGGGTTTGCTCCTTCGACTGCTGACCCGTCGCTGTTTCTACGCACCGACACTACTCTGCCGCCGTTCTACATCCTTGTGTACGTCGACGACTTGGTTTTTGCTACTGCTGACACAGAGGCGCTGGCCCTAGTGAAGGCGGACCTGCAGGAGAGACACACCTGCACTGACCTGGGTGAGCTGCGGAGCTATCTTGGCTTGCAGATCACCCGGGACAGAGCACGGCGCACCATCACCCTGACTCAGTCACACATGGTGCATCAGGTCCCTCAGCGCTTCGGCTTCCAGTACTCCTTGCCACAGCCCACTCCTCTGTCTACCGGTCACTCGCTCTCAGCTCCACCTTCGGACGAGTCCGTAGAGCCGAGTGGTCCGTACCCAGAGCTTGTGGGTTGCCTCATGTACCTGATGACGTGCACATGACCTGACCTCGCGTACCCTCTCAGCCTCCTGGCTCGCTACGTGGCACCCGGTAGACACCGAAAGGTGCACTTTGATGTTGCAAAGAGGGTACTGCGTTACTTGTGCAGTACATCGGGCATGGGGCTTGTGCTTGGAGGACGGGGTTCAGTGGTACTCACAGGACACTCTGACGCTTCTTGGGCCGACGACCAGGCGACTCAGCGTTCGTCACAGGGTTACACCTTTAGTCGTGGCTCTGGTTCTGTCTCGTGGAGGTCCACTCGTTCTTCTTCTGTGCTAGGTTCCAGCTGTGAGGCCGAGATCTACGCTGGGGCCATGGCTGCACAGGAGCTACGCTGGCTGACCTACCTGCTGACCGACTTGGGGGAGCGGCCTCGTTCTCCTCCAGTCTGTACGTCGACAACAAGGCAATGTTTGCCTTGTGTCGCGAGCAGAGACTGGAGCACAGAACGAAGCACATTTCTCTTTGCTACTTCCTTGCGCGTGAGCTACAGCAGCGTGGTCAGCTGCGCCTTGCTTACGTGGCCTCTCGGGCCAACATTGCTGATGTCTTCACCAAGGCCCTTGGGTCTGGTGATCATCAGCGTTTCTGCACTGCTCTTGGGCTTGTGCCCACTCTACCTCACCTGCTGGTTGCTTGACTTTACTGGCAGACACAAGAGTAGAACAACTAATAACTGGAGAAGAAATGAGAGAACTCGACTAAAATGCTCGTTCCAACCAACTAGACTGAGTTGTTCAGAGATGCGGAGGGGTTCGGAATATTTTTGCAGTGGTGAGCATGGCTGGGATTAAACTAGGAAGTGGTGGGTGCAGGTGGTTGTAATTCTAGTTGTGTGGCGGACGTTTTGCACTAACGCGATTTTTTTTTGGTGCACGTGGAGGATTTCGGCGCAGCTGGCAGGTGCCATGTTTCATTTTTTCCTTCGATTCTAGACAGGTGGCGCGCGGAACACTGTTTATCTCGGATTAGGCCGAGTTACTGTTCATATCGAAGTGTGTGTAGGTCACGCCCAAATTGAAATCGGAAAAAATGTTGGCCTAGCAACATCCAGACACGAGAATCAAACTCGAGTCTTCCGGTTGCAACTTGACCCGGTCAGATTCGGGTTAGATCTGGTACAAAAGTATTTTCGGGTCGGATTTACAAGTATCCCTAAACAGTTTGATCACACGAACTGTCCCCGAAGATACTTTGGGGACAGTTTTGGGTTCCATTTGAGGCGTTGACGGGACAGGGCAATTTGGGGTCAGCTCAAGGACAGCGCCTTTTTGGTGATGTCCCTCCTAGTCTCGCTAGTGGTGATCATGGCGCGTATTAACCTGCTTACGACTCTCGTTCTCCTGCTTGCCGTCATCAACACTCTCGCATTATTCGCTTCCACGGATGCTGCTCGACCTGAGCGGATACTTGGCGGCACTGCAGGGAATTTAACAAAAGTACGTAGCAGGACAACTGGGTGTGTCCCTGTGGGACGGTGATAAAATGCCTTAAGGCCCTCCTATCTCTGCCTTGATGTGATGCGCATCTCAAGATACTCAAGAAGTCCTCTATGGTTGGTTCTGATAGGCCTGAAAACGAGAAATGACTGGCACCCCCACGACGTAGTAGCTGCACAAGTTACTAATTTGTTGGTTCCTTAAACGCCCCCCTCCCCCTTCCCAACCCCCCTCCTCCCCCCTCCTCCCCCTTCGATGTCACGAATGCTTTATCTCCACATTCAAGCAAACGAACGTAACAGTCAACTCACCATAAGTTCTGGTCTGCCTCTCTTGTTCTTCTCCTGCCGCAGCTTCTGGGGAGGCGCTTCGAGATTATTTCATTTTTTGGAAAAAGAAGTGATGGTGCAACCCAGAGCGGAAAACGTGTGGAAGCAGGAACGACATGATAGACAGTTCTTGTGTAACTGGTTACTACGGCTTCCTAGAAGTTGAAAGGGGAGGGTTTTCCGTGAACTCACACGGTTTCCGTGCAGGTGTGTTGTCTGTGAGTAGATTTGGTGTACGGGTCTTCGTAAAAAAAAAATGTGGACTGCCTCGAGCTGCAAAACCAAGGGCATGCCAGGGTGTACAGGGGGGTGGCATATCAGATGTATGCCAAAGGAGTGCCTGTACATTGCCTATGTTTGGGTAACACTCTCAGGCGCATCTGATGTATCTCAGCGGATGCCAGGCCCCCTCTGTGCTGCCAGAGTGGTTGCAACTACAAGCAGGTTCAGTAAAGCATAAGCGTTTCAAAACCTGGGAGGGATGATTAAGTACATTTATTGTTAACACGCAAATCACAACATGAGAGGCGCTTAGACACAAGGGAGGTGAACAGAAACGTGCCTCAGGGGCAATCAACATAATGTCGTAGGAGGGAAACACATGCTGTGGGGTATGTCTAGGCTAAAGCAAATACCCACTACGATGGGAACACACACACACATACACGTCCGCGAGATGGTCCACAGCTTTACCATCATGAGCGCAGGCTCTCCAGCCTAGTTCTGTTCCTCGTTGATAAGATAGGCCCACTTGTTCAGGTACCAGAGGTCTCGCTCCTCAAACGACGGGACGCAGTGGACTGCGCGTCGTAGCTTGGAGATGGGGACGACAGTGACCCCGCGAAAAAGGCCGGGTGGGCCAAGCAGCTGGCAGCCCATGCACTGGTCAAGGCCCTGCGGGGTCAGCCTCTGCAGCACGGCCACCTCTGCCGGCTCGTAGCTACCGTCATCCAGCGGGCGCTCTGCATCCAGCAGCGGGAGCAGTCGTCCGTACAGGGGTTGACCAGCGGCAGAATCGTACTCCACGCAGGAGAAGGCAGTGTGTCCATGCAGGGTGGCTGCAGCACGGACATAATGGGGCTTGATGTGCCCGTAATCAGTTGGATGCGCCGGCAACGCCACTGCACTGTGAGCCTGTTCAGGGCATGCGCATGGTTTATGGTCGGGATGAATAGTGTATGGGAGAGGGAGATGGCCGGATGGGACTCATGGATGCGAGCGTTGTCTGGTTGCAGCTCAAGTCATATGCATCTTCAATGACATAACAAGGAGGCAAACATTGGAGAAATAGGGTTACACGTACCCATGCAGGGAAGGGGCGCAGGCCGGCGTTGCGCGTCACAGTGTCGTAGTACATTAGGATCCCGCCCATGGCCTGGTTGATCTCATCGAACACAGAAGCCGCGTCGCTCTCGTGATCGGGCCTTGCGGTGAGGGACTTGCGTGCGGCCGTCAGCTGAGGGGTGCTCGAAGCGATGGCTTGGTTCAGGGTGAGGCAATGCATTGGAGTAAATAAGTATAAATAGGTTACATTGAGCATAAGGCATGTTGTTAGAAAAGGCTTGCCACAGGGTGACCTACCCGGGTCAACGCCGTCTGGTTGCGCTTGCGGGCTGGAAGAGCGCTTGTCAGCTGCGGCAGTGCGGATGTCCTGTAGTGGCTGGCGGTGGTTGGATGTCCTGTACCGCAGCTTGCACGTGCGGATGTGTGCGTTCTCGTACACAGCCGCCGAGTACTCACTCGGTAGTCCGGCACGCCTGACAGACTCGGGGACGTGGGTGAGGAGGTGGACCTTGATAATGTTTCACCCGTCTCCTTCACGCGGGAAGACAAACTCAACAGTCTGTATCATCATGCGGATAAGACGAAGAACAGATAAGCATAGGGTAGGAGAATATGTCTGCTCGAACGCACCATAGCGCACGAGTGTTACCTCTTTGTGGCCTGCTCGAAGTCGCCAAGCGACACATCAGAGTGACATGGAGCGCGCACGCCAGACTCGTGCCACTGAAGCACCGTCACGAGCGCCAGCCTATTCACGATCTCCCCCTCTCCCTCGAGCGCGAACGGTGCGAGCTGTGACACGGCAGCGCAAGAGGTCAACCATGCTCACGGTAGAGCCATGCATGGACGAGCCTAGTCCATGAAAAATGTCATAACATAACAGTGTAACGCACCATCATCGCAGAGGCATGCTCGCTGGCAGTGAAGTTGGCGCCACTGGCCCAGTAACTGCCAGACCCAGGAGAACGAAGGCCTGCTAGAGGAGCGTCAGGGTACATGGTCACCATGCGCCTGCCATGAAAAGATGCATGGCAATGGCTGTTAGCTCATATACAACGTGTATGCTGCTAATTGCTATATACACATCGATAACCAGCAATACGCACTCATCTTTGCGTCTAGCCATGGGGCCGGATCCACGCAAAACACTCCGTATGTAGAGCCAGAAGCCGATGTAGATAGCGTGCAAAATGTCCGGCATCTGTGCAAGGTACGTGTTGCCCCAGAGTGTACGGCTGAAGTTGAAAGCCCACAAGAAGCTCTGCCATTGGAGGGTACGGGCTGGGATCGGGCTGGAATGCTAGCACACAAATTGAGCCACACTAGGGTGCAACGCATGCAAGGTATAGTTACCGGGACTGGTATGGTCACGTAGTCCTTCGCCTCCGTGGGGTCGCCCACCAGCTCTTGTTGTTGCTCAACTGTGCGGTGCGCGGCAGGGTCTCGCTCCATGTCTCGAAGCTGACCACGCCCAAATAACAGATCGAGCAGGGCATCGCCGACCCCAGTTGCTGCGTGCACGAGACCTTGCAGGTCTCGGGGTAGTCAGTGACGTAGGAGAACAGCAGCGGCAAAAAAAAACGGTCAACCCCTGAAGGGTCCTTGGCTGCCACTCCACTGCCCAGTACGAAGGTTGGGTAAAGAAACAAAACAGAATGAAGCACAACCAGGTCCGTATAGCGGCTTGTACATAATACAAGTACGAGCCAGCGGCGAAAAATGATGCGCATGAACATTCTGATGGCATCCAAACACCTACCCTAGAATTACGTGTGACTTGCGACGATAAGATCTGCCAGCACGACCTTCATCGCCGCCTGGAAAAGCTCCACTTTCATGGCCGGAGACATGTTAGCCGGCGGAAACGGGAGCATCGCCAGCAGAATATTTCCGCAGTCTAGCCAGCGGCGCCGGAGTGGGATGTTGGCGATGGAGACGTACACGGCCCACACTCATTTCCGCGCTCATTTCCGCTTAGAATAGTCGCGTCGCTGGAGAGAATGAGGGGAACGACCACCGTGCTAGGTCCATACTCCGCTTCTGCAGCAACTTGAGCATATTCCCAAAACGTGGCGGTTTCAAGAGTGGAGTAAACTCGCCCAGCAGCTGTGTTCACTTGACGTGGGCGCAGCACGAACCCTTCGGCGTTCTCAGGGTTCCCAAGTAGCTCTATAACGGCCTGCATGCAATGACGAGGAACAAGTGAAGCAGGCTATCAGGTCCATAACAGTGGTGAGCACCGCTAGAGACTTAAGTGGTTCATGCGTTACTGCATAGCTGCTTACCTCCTTCCCGCTAGTGCGAACCACCTCGAACGGTGTAGGCCATCCCGGAATGGTGAACGGGGTCGTCTCGTAGACGCGCCGAGACATGAGCAGCGTCATGCCGAAATGTATCACGGCGTACAACGTTCGCCAGTGTCGGATAAGCTCTAGGTCGAGACGCTCGTCGCGCAGAAGGTTCAGGAGCCACACTGTCGACTTGTTCGAGAGACCCGCTCCGTTGTTGCAGCCCACTATGAAACGGAACACCTCCATTAGCGTGTCGAAGTTGTCCTCAGGCTGAAACGTGCCCTCGGGCGCACTTTCCATGCCATCCAGTAGCGCAGTAGCATCCCCTTCCTCATCTGACGATGCATCCTCAGCTTCGTCAGACTCCCCGTCGTCGTCGCCAGACACCTGCGCGTGTTGACATAAAACCGTTAGTCCGTGATGACTGTCATGGTGAAATTGTAACGGTAAAGATTAGGGTTACAAACAATCTTACCGCATCCTCATGCTCCGTGGCCATTGCACGTTCGTCGCCGTCGTTAAGCTCTGGCATGTCGTCATCAGATGGTGGCGACTGATCCTGGTCATCATTCGACCCTCCGTCACTGGCGCCAATATCAGGAGTCGAGCTTATAAAGCGGGAAGCGGCTATGATGCAGGCACCAGCTCTGCGCTTGTGAGAAAACAATGCCGTGCGAGAGCGGAAACGGTGAGAACACCACTCGCAGGCGTACAATGACCCCTGCGTAGGCATTGGAAAGCCTTGGAAGGTCGAACCATACACGGTATTGAAGGAGCCGTTGATGGGGATGTGCACTCGGCGAGTGACCCTATGTTCTATTATCGCGTGCACCTGCACCTTTATTCGTGATGGGCTGGATCACGTCGGCAAGGCTGTTTAACATGTGTTGCTAGCCACAATGGGTGTATGCAAACATGCCAGGCTATCTAAACGAATCCGAACCTGTGTCAATATGCGTGTTTATTGGATAGTCAAGTCTTTGATTTCGAATAAGTCTCAGCTGCGGTCTACATACCTCAAGGGATTTTTCGGGTGCATTGTTGGAGAGCACCCTTTGACGGCCACTGATTTGACAGCGAAGCAACCCTCTCAATGAAACTAGTGTGCGATGTGACTCCAACATGGTTGGCGAGCCCCGCCAGTTTCGTGCGTAGGGTCGTGTGGGAAAACAACAAAAGTCAGGGCGGAAGCCCGGTTGAGCTTGGGGGAAGAATGCGCGGAAGTGCGGAAGCAATACACACCTGATCAGGTGAATTATCAGGAGCTTGGTTCCAGTGTGGTATGCAAAACGAGAAATGCACCTCGACACCAAAGCACGGAAAGAAGCAAAGCAGAGAGAATAAGCGACTAATCATAACGACGCGACCTTATTCACGTACTCCAGCGACGACTATGGCTCAACCTGTTGACATGGCTGCAGGCGCCCAAATAAATATCGAGGAATAACTTAGAGTCGCTGGTGAGTTCCAGGACACCTAGCAAGAACATATGAAATCCGGGCAAATACGCATCGCGCTACCGATACGTAAGGGTGGTCGCGCTAAAGCGGTTTAGGCACGCCCACCAAATCCCTTTCATCAGACCTGTCTCGGTGCCTTCTTCCATGTTCGCGCGTTGCATCCGTCTAGCCCACCCTGTTGCCTGCCACGGACGACTACTAGCGTTCAAGAAGCATCATAAGAAGTGTAGTATTAACTTTGGAAAGCACAAGGCGTTCACCACGGTGGACAATCATCGCGAAAAAAGGAAGTTGCGATTTTTGGCCTCCGAAGGTTTTTCTGCGTACACCTTGCGTACAAGTTGCGCACAGTATCCAAAAGACAACGCACGAATGCGGAATCATGCGGGAAAATGTCACCGCAAATTTGCTTTTCCGTCAACATTTTCGCGTAACTCGGTTTCGAGCGATCGAGAGAGTTTAAAAGCGGTTTGACAGGGTAACATCGACAATGACCAGGGTCACATCAAAATGTGCGAAAAAGAAGGACCTCACGAAATCCAGCGAGGTTGCAAAAGTGGATACCTCGATTTCGTTTATTCCCAACTCCCAACCCAACCGCCCAACCAAACCCACAAACGCACGCTGGTTTCTTCAGAGGTGTGACGTGGGAGCCAACAAATCAATTTGAACCAATCATGGTTGTGCTGTGAAGAGTCAATCCATCCGCACCATCCATTATCTACACGTCAGCACACCCATCCAAACCCATCCAACAACGTCCACCCAATATCCAGCTTCACTGCGGGAACTTTCTCCCATGATTCCCCCCCACTCACGTACTAGAACCTACGACCTACCTCACAAATCCCTCTCGTTCATTTTTTGTTCAACGTCCACCAGAAGTGCGCACCTGGTTCCTTCGACTAGCAACTAAGTCCTGATGTGGACCTTAGTATGATGCCACGCAACTTCCTGCGATGTCTCCGACTCCTTGCACGTCAGAGTTAACGTCAATGCCTTATTCTGGACTTTCTACCTTCCATTTTCCCTAACATTCCCCTTTCCAGGTCGACGACTTTCAACACTTTCGCGGATGACATGCACGCAAATATTGAAGCGTAGGCGCATTTCAACAACTATTCCTTTGACAGTTGGAAAGGTATACGAATATCGGTGATGTATACGTTTTCATGGTTTCGCCATATGTCATGTTTGCAGTCCCGAGTCATGTTACCTTAGTTCTTACGTTTGCATCTACTTCTTTTATTCGGTTAGAGACTACCAGTGTGCAACATCTCACTCGTCGCCATGCTTAACTTTCGTAGTTATAGCGCAGCAACCGACTATGCACATGCTAATTACGATCCATTTGGTGTTCGCTAACTGGTTATCACTAACCCTACTGGAGCAAGCTCAGAGACGTGCTTAACAGCAACCTTGTGTGTGCAGGTTTCACATATGTGGACGTCGTCACTGACCTTTTTTCTTGCAGGAGTATAAATGTCGACAATCGCATATGCGTATTTTGCAGGGCGTACTTGTTACTGCAGGCTTATCGTCAACCAGTACCGCAGTATGCATATTTTCCAACATTGAAGCATACTCCATTATTACTAACCCCAATGGTGAGTGTTGAAAATGCAATGTTGGTTTGCTGTTACCTGTTTTCATGTCTGTTTTTCCAGTTTACATTTACCAAACTTGTAAGAGTTTTTCTTCTCAGGTGTAGAAACCTAGCACTGGAGGATAAGTTAGGACTAGGTGTAGAAATGAAAAAACGTGTACAGTTTATGTCTGCGTTGTGAATACTAATTATACTGTTTACAGTACAGCTGCTAATGTCTGGTCAATCAAATGCGTCGCAGGGATGTTTCTAGAAAATGCCAGCCAATCGTAATTTGTTACTGTACACCAAATCGCAGGCTATGATTGGTCCTCATCGCAGTATCTCGTGCGTCGAGCAGATTCTAATCCGACGGTTGTCGTTAGAGTACGATAATCGCCACGTCAGCGTTTCTGAGTTTCATCTAGAGTACGGTGTACGCCACGTGGCTTCGTCATGACACTTTCGCACTGGTTGCTCAAAGTTGACGGAAATGTTGCTTTACTGTATAATTGGTCAGTTGCCCCAATGTGTACAGTTAGAGACGGAAGAGTGACTGGGAAGTTGCTTTGTAAGTGACGGTCGGTATGCAGTTTTAAAACCTTGACTAAAAAATGCCGGGCAAAAAATATCGGGAAAGTTGCGGAAGAGTGTATTTTGAGTTGCTTTCCGAACTTCCCATTTTCGCGATGATGTTGCGGGACTCACACCTCATGCGCCGCTTCATGCCTCACGCGCCGCTGGTTTAGCCTCACGCGCCGCTTCACGCCTCACGCGCCGCTGGTTTAGCCTCACGCGCCGCTTCACGCCTCACTCGCCGTTTCTGGCCTTTCGCGCCGCCCCTCGCTTCACGCGCCGCTGAAGGCCTCACCTGCCTCCCGCGGCGAGCGCTGGTGGCCTCACCCGCTTATCACCGCACCCGCGTCCCGCCTCACCCTCTTCTCGCCTCACCCGCTTCTCGCCTCACCCGCTTCTCGCCTCACCCACTTCTTGCCTCACCCGCTTCTCGCCTCACCCGCTTCTCGCCTCACCCGCTTCTCGCCTCACCCGCTTCTCGCCTCACCCGCTTCTCGCCTCACCCGCTTCTCGCCTCACCCGCTTCTCGCCTCACCCGCT